TCAGTTTTGACAACCAAAAAATACATCGACAGATTTTTTGGGGTTGTTAATGTGTTAATGCGTTGTGGGTATGCTGACGGTTCATGGGAATATTAAGTTTTTGATTTTGGTTTTTATGTTTCTGAAATATATTTTTTTGTGTTTGTTCTTGATGCGATCTTTTGTGGTTCAAGTTTTTTTTTTCATTTTTCAGGACACTGTGTGGCTAGTTAAGTCATCTTGATGTGTTCATTGTTGTTCCATTCATTAGTTCTACTGGGTTAGCTATCGTTGCAGAAGCGGATTTGCTCTGTGGTATTTTTTTGTCCGAAAAGGTTGTCGTTACAAATCGGTAGTTTCCACTAGCTTCTGGTCTCGGCTACTGAATGTTTCTTCAGTTTTGACAACCAAAAAATACGTCGACAGATTTTTTGGGGTTGTTAAAATGTTAATGCGTTGTGGGTATGCTGACGGCTCATGGAAGTACTAATTTTTTGATTTTGGTCTTTATGTTTCTGAAAGATATCTTTTTTGTGTTTGTTCTTGATGCGATCTTTTGTGGTACAATTTTTTTCATTTTTCAGGACACTGTGTGGCTAGTTAAGTCATCTTGATGTGTTCCTTGTTGCTCGATTCATCAGGTCTCCTGGGTCAGCGATTGTTGCAGAAGCGGATTTGCGCTGTGGTGATTTTTGTCCGAAAAAAGTTGTCGTCACAAATTGGTAGTTATCACTGGCTTCTGGTCTTGGCTACTGAATGTTTCTTCAGTTTTGACAACCAAAAAATGCAGCAACAATTTTTTTGGGTTGTTAAAATGTTAATGCGTTGTGGGTATGCTGACGGCTCATGGAAGTACTAAGTTTTTGATTTTGGTCTTTATGTTTCTGAAAGATGTCTTTTTTGTGTTTGTTCTTGATGCGATCTTTTGTGGTACAATTTTTTTCATTTTTCAGGACACTGTGTGGCTAGTTAAGTCATCTTGATGTGTTCCTTGTTGCTCGATTCATCAGGTCTCCTGGGTCAGCGATTGTTGCAGAAGCGGAATTGCGCTGTGGTGATTTTTGTCCGAAAAAAGTTGTCGTCACAAATTGGTAGTTATCACTGGCTTCTGGTCTTGGCTACTGAATGTTTCTTCAGTTTTGACAACCAAAAAATGCAGCGACAATTTTTTTGGGTTGTTAAAATGTTAATGCGTTGTGGGTATGCTGACGGCTCATGGAAGTACTAAGTTTTTGATTTTGGTCTTTATGTTTCTGAAAGATGTCTTTTTTGTGTTTGTTCTTGATGCGATCTTTTGTGGTACAATTTTTTTCGTTTTTCAGGACACTGTGTGGCTAGTTAAGTCATCTTGATGTGTTCCTTGTTGCTCGATTCATCAGGTCTCCTGGGTCAGCGATTGTTGCAGAAGCGGATTTGCGCTGTGGTGATTTTTGTCCGAAAAAAGTTGTCGTCACAAATTGGTAGTTATCACTGGCTTCTGGTCTTGGCTACTGAATGTTTCTTCAGTTTTGACAACCAAAAAATACAGCGACAATTTTTTTGGGTTGTTGATATGTTAATGCGTTGTGGGTATGACGGCTCATGGAAGGACTAAGTTTTTGATTTTGGTCTTTATGTTTCTGAAAGATGTCTTTTTTTGTGTTTGTTCTTGATGCGATCTTTTGTGGTACAAATTTTTTCTTTTTTCAGGACACTGTGTGGCTATTTAAGTCATCTTGATGTGTTCCTTGTTGCTCGATTCATCAGGTCTCCTGGGTCAGCGATCGTTGCAGAAACGAATTTGCACTGTGGTGATTTTTCGTCCGAAAAAGTTGTCGTCACAGTACTGGCAGTTTTTTTTTTGGTCTTGACTACCAGACATTCCTTGAGTTTTCATAAATTTGAAAGACAGCGCTGCCTTTTTGGGGTTGAAAATGCATTGTTTACTTGTTGTTGGTACCTGGGAGTGCTTATTTCTCGATTTCAGTTTTTTCTGTTGAATCATGTCATTTTATGTGTCTATCAGTGATGCGGTTTTTCTCGTTACAAGTTTGTCCATTTTTGATCACAGTGTCTGGCTGATATTATCTTTTTGATGTGCTCATTTTTATTCATTTATTCAAACATACTGGGGTAGTGGTCGTTGCACTAGCAAATTTGCGCTGGACTGTTTTTGTCTCAATAAAGTTATCACAAATTGGTAGTTTCCACTAGCTTCTGGTCTTGGCTGCTGAATGTTTCTTCAGTTTTGACATTTTTGAAATACACAGCGACGCTTTTTTGGGTTTTTACTGCGTTGTGGGTATGCCGAAATTTCATGGGAGTTCTGGGTTTTGATTTTGGTTTTCGTGTTTCTGAAATATGTCTTTTTTTGTGTTCATCCTTGACGCGATTTTTTGTGGTACAAGTTTTTTCATTTTTCAGCGCAGTGTGTGGCTAGTGAAGAATTCTTGATGTGTTCATTGTTGCTCCATTTGTCGATTCTACTGACTTAGCGATCGTTGCAGAAGCGGATTTGCGCTGTGGTGATTTTTTGTCCGAAGAAAATTGTCGTCACAAATTGGTAGTTTCCACTGGTTTCTGGTCTTGGCTACTGAATGTTTCTTCAGTTTTGACATCTTTGAAATACACAGCGATAATTTCTTGGGTTGTTAATGCCTTGTGGGTATGCTAACGGTTCATGGGAAAACAAAGTTTTTGATTTTGGTCTTTATGTTTCTGAAATATGTCATTTTTTGTGTTTATCCTTGATGGGGTCTTTTGTGGTACAATTTTTTTTCATATTTCAGGACATTTTGTGGCTAGTTAAGTTATCTTGATGTGTTTCTTGTTGTTTCATTGATCAGGTCTAGTGCGTTAGCGATCGTTGCAGAAGCGAATTTGCGCTGTGGTGTTTTTTGTCCGAAAAAGTTGTCGTCACAGTGCTGGCAGTTTTTCTTGCTTTTTGGTCTTGACTACCAGACATTCCTTGAGTTTTCACAAATTTGAAAGACAGAGCTGCCTTTTTGGGTTGATAATGCACATTTTACCTGTTGATGTTACCTGGGAGTGCTTAATAATTGATTTCAGTTTTTTTCTGTGGAATCATGTCTTTTTATGTGTCTATCAGTGATGCGGTTTTTCTGGTTACGAGTTTTTCCATTTTTGATCACAGTGTCTGGCTGATATTATCATTTCGATGTGCTCATTTTTATTCATTTGTTCAGTTCTACTGGGGTAGTGGTCGTTGCACAAGTGAACTTGCGCTGGAGTGTTTTTGTCTCAATAAAGTTGTCACAAATTGGTAGTTTCCACGAGCTTCTGGTTTTGGCTACTGAATGTTTCTTCAGTTTTTACATCTTTGAAATACAAAGCGACATTTTTTGGGTTGTTAACGGTTGGATGAAATTGTGTATGACAATTTCAACCAAATAATTATTTACTTAAGATAAGAGTGAACTCTTTTCCTCTTTAAAATTGTCAACCTTTTAACTGCTAGTCGATATTTTTCATTCTTTGAAGATTGGACTCGTTTTAAATATGCAAATTTTTTCACAGACTATTAGGTCGGATATCAAAAAGAAAGTGTGTCGGCTGATCGGATGAACGGATGATGAAACAGATATCCAATGAAACGAGGCTTTTGAGATTAGAATTAGACAAAGAAACTCTTAATAAATTTTGTTCCCACTATCATTTCCACTCGCTCAGTTGAATTAACACTTTCCGGAAAATATCTAATTCTTTTTCTTTTCTTTGATTTTTAAAATTTTATAAAGGTTTGAACTTAGGATTTTTTTAAATTGCGGAAAAATAAAAGCAGCAACGCGGATCTAGAAGAACTGATGACCCAATACTCTGATAGACAAAAGGTGGACAAATTCATCATCGTCCAGACGCGGACTACACGCTAATGAAGTGTTAGTTTAGATGTTTAAACTAGGCATTGACCCCATCCCCTTTATTGGTTTAAAGACAGTTGTTAATTAAATTGTTAAAGCATTTATGTTCAAGTAACCTTTATATAGATTCATACTCTTTTCGAACTATTTTTTCTTTAATAATGTTTTTCAAAAAATTGACGATCGCAGGTGACACTTATAATTTAGGCTAGACTACTATGCAATCAACCAGAAATGTTAGCTTTGTAAAGTATTCTGGTAACAGCAGAAATGAGGAGTTTTAGCCGAGTATTCCATTTAGGGCAGAAGTCATATTGATATTGGCAGAAAGAACAGAATGTGAAAATTTTCAGAAACTAAAAAGAATGAAATCGAAAGGTCTTTATAGTGGTTTGGAAGATCTCAAAAAATCAGCTTGGTCGACCTAAAAAAAGGTCTTCAAAATCTTCATTTTTCCCCAAACCTTTTTCCTCTATGTTCAAGATTTTAGAAAAACAAAGCTATCATTTCTATGAGTACAACATTGTCCAAATCATAAATTTCTCTAACAAATACATGTAACTAATGTCTGATTAGTTCGTTAAATTTTCTGGCATTATAGAATTTTTAGTCAGAAACTTGTACCTAACTTTCAATTCACAAAGCAAACGCTTTTATAGATATTGGTATAACACGAGACCAATATTAAACTAGCTCGTACGTTAATGTTTTTGTGTTTAGAAAAATCAACCAAGTGTACCCGAGATTTTCCGCACAACTGTGCCAATGTTTTGAAGGATAACTATAATAAAACAAAAACAAATCATGCAAATCGTACTGAAACAAATTCCCAGGCTGACAAAAATAAAGCGTAGAAGTTTTTCACGTGGTTAAAACAGGAAAAAGAGCCCTTTTAACGATCTTGGAAATTTTAATCTAGTTTTAAAAAAATATTTAAAACTAGTTAGAATGAAAGACTGATTTGCAGTAGCGTGCCAAGGTTAGGGGCTCAATTCTGGTTGCCAGTTTTTTTCTAAAGTTTCTACCTTTAGCTCTAAACTGCGACACTAATTTTTCGCTGAACAACCCAAACAATTGTCTTGGGGCTGCTCCAAATTTTTAGCATATATGGTCGTTCAGTGTTTTCGTCACATTTCGGAATTTTCGAAATGGCTAGCCTTAAAAAGCCAAAAACATCGACAAAAATAATCAACAATTTTGACAAAAACTTCTGTGCTCACACCAGCCGTGCCGTGCACAAAAGTTTTTTGTTAAAGTTATTGGAAGTTTTTGTCGATGCTTTTGGCTTCATAATGTCAACCAATTCAAAAAAATTGGCTTGTCAATTAAAAAAAACAATACATTTATAGAGTTGTTCAGCAGAAAATGACTGCCGTAATTTAGTATATGGTAGGTTTTAATAAGCTCAGCAAGTCAGAAAGTAATCGGTTTGATCTCAATTAAATCTAATGAGTAAGTTTGGTAAGTAGCTGAGCTGTATTTGAAAAGGGTTAAGACAAATCAATAAAATCAATCATCTGACGTCTCGAGTTTTTCTGAAGTTGAATTCTCCTCTCGCAACTTTACTTTGTAAATCTTTTTGGATGAAATTAATCATTTGATCGGGAGATGTTTATGGATTGTTGTTCCGTCTGTCAGATAAATGATATATAGTTAATGAACATTTCCAGCAACATAGAGGAATTTTTACGTTAGCAAAGGTAAAATTTGATTCAGCTGGGCTAAAAAAGCCCTTTCCGATGCAGTTTTTGTGATTTTTCTCTCAACCCTAGCCCCCTTTTCTCATCGATAGGTTATGGGATTGTCGTAGGGGGGTGGAGGTGTTCCATCTCCATTGAAATTGTTGTTGTTGTTGTTGTTGTTGTTGTTGTTGTTGATCAAGTCAAGATGAACCAAGCTGTTTTTCTTAGTGTAGCGCGCACTGTATTCAGGAGGGTTTTGGTTTGGCAGGGGATTAGATCTGTTAATAGTAATGGTTCTTACAACACGGAATTGATAAAAGTGCAGCCTATTACATAATTTTACTTACCTCAACTTACTTAACTATTACTTAATCTATAACATATTTTGGAGCCTTTTACTCAACTTCAAAAAGAGAGCATACTAAAAACAAAAAAAAATAAAACTGTTCGTACATCAGCCTTAAGCCTTGAATGCCCCTTAGCTGGTCTCAAAAAACAATTTTGAAAAAAATATATAATTTTTGGACTACCAAATGTGAAATATAAAACGTCGAAATAAAAAAACCAAATAACTCGCCTCATTTCAATTAGAATTATTATGAAAGCTGGATTGTGTTATTTAAGTTTTAATCGAGCCGGTTCCAGTCGAATATAGTCCAGTGTAAGTACAATTGTTCGGCAATCCGAAATTTTCCCTATCGAACCCCGCACTCTCTCAACGTTCTTTGAAAAATGGGTTTAAAAATAAACACCTCCAAAATAAAATTCCTAATTTCTTCGATAATCGGTACAATAGTTCAGTTTCAAAAATTGAATCATATATAATGATGTGACCATTGAAAATGCCTTAGCGTTCCGAATTTCGAAGAAAGAGACGGAAAGTATGCGCTCGGGCTGTTTTCTCCAGGCTTCTTAATTTTAGATTTCTTATATGGATGTATTGGACGGAAAATTTTATATCATCAGAAAGTTATTGCAATGCTGAGCTCAAATTTGAAAAAAATATATATTTCATCTACTGTTGATGTTTCTCGTAGAGTTATGTAGTGGAGACTGTCAAACTACTAATGTAATTATGTTAGAAAATAATTATGTATGGTACTTATGTAACCTGAGCAATGTCAACATTATAGAAAATTTTGGTACTGCGAATCGCCAGTGGCGAACGTGTCGTAGAGAATCTATAACGTTATCTTTCTCAGCTGTTTTGTGAAACTTTTCTATGCGGAGGTTAGAAATACCTCCACATGCCACAGCCAGCAACCGAATCTAGCAATCGTGGGCTGGATGTAACCACCGGACCCTTGGGAAAACTGTGCTCAAAAATTCCAGTTGGTGGTCTTTGCCAAGGAGGAGATCGATATTGAAGATTTACTAGACGTTAGTACCGCACCGGAAAATGTGTAACCGACATTAGAAGAGTCGGCGGGTACCGAAGAAGACCAGGTGCGAGCGGACAGAGATGCTTGCAATGCAGATGCGATACGAGTCTGGAGAGAAGAGGAAACTCGTCGCTCGGATGAAAGGAAACGGCTGTTCCGCGGAAGCACGAGAGGAGAGGCAGATAAAAGTCTGAAGACGAAGATTTTCTTATCGTTGGTGAAGTGGTGACAACAATATTTCTTTCAGAAAAACGAAAAAGTAAAATTGTGGATATTACTTTTGCCGAGATATGGAAATTGGCAACGGATGCGTTCTATCGAGAACCGAACGTTACGAACCGTAACTTAATCCTGTTTGGACGCAAGCAGCGTGATAATGAAGGAATGTAGCTGTTTTTTGGAGCTCTATTTGACTTAGCCAAAGGCTGTGATTTTGGCTTCAAGGAGGAGTCGACCGTGGGAGACATTTTTATATATTTTAGGGAGCATGAGGAGGTGCGAAAACAGCTTTGAATGACCCTTCAGTTTGCGGTGGTGAGATAAAGAGGAGAAAGAATGTTCAAAGACGGGAGTAGTTGTGTCTCAAGTTCGGTGGGAACAATTTTCACCAGGGGCGACAAAACGCCAACAAAAAGAATCAGCCATGTTACATCAGAAGAGAACCAGTCAACGATATTAAAGGGCAAAGTTGAGACAATTGTCACAATTGTCAAAATTGGTTGAAGCCGAACCAACGGAAGAGTTGTCCAGCAAAGAACATCATCTGTAACAATTGCATAGGAAGGAAACCTTTTGCTAAGTATTACAAAAGGGCTGTGGTGAATCAGATTCCTATGAATTTAGTCAATGTGAAACAAACCTGATCCATACGTTAAAAAAAGCAGATAAAATCAGGATGAATTTGGAGTATTTGCCATAAAGACTGTGTAGTATCAGGCAGAAAAAAATTGCTAAGCAGGCTGATAGGCAGAAACCAAAAAGAAACTGAATACCAAATTGGTTGTGCTACCGCTGTCTCATTTATTTCTCAGAGTAAGCTTCATGAAGTCAAAATTCAGGATCGCTGCGTCAGAAGTGAGTTTCACGAGGTGTGAACGATGTTGCCAGGGAGCCACAAGAGTAAAGGTAAACAGAGTACTAACCCACTCAACTTAATCACAGCAAACGTTTTTTTTGAGGGGGGATTCGAAGAAATGTTTGAACGCAATGGTTTGCCCAAAAGTTTTGGAACACGATCTCAGTTCCGTCAACCGGTACGACTATTACAAGATAAGGGCAAGAGGTTCCAATAGATGTCTTGCCTACAGTTGAATAGAAAATCAAGAATTTGCTGAACGATAGACATATTGTAAATTTGAGAAAATGCACCAAGGACTGCTTCATCTTGCCTAGAGTCGTCACGGCAAAACGGGATGGATCAGTTAAATTGTCCTTAAACTCAAAATGGATCAAAAAACAGATTTATCGGAACCGTTATCAAATCCCAAATATCCCAAATTGTCTTGCGTGTCAGTAGAGAAGAATTCTAAAACAACACAAACTCAGTCAGTCCGTTGGGTCGATTGTTTGTTGCCTATCGATTACAAAATCGAATATACCCCTGGGAAAAAAGTGACTGGTTGACTATTCATCCAGGCACCCTGTTGGGGACGCTTCTATAGTTTTGGAACTGGACAAATATTTTGTTGCAGACCAAATCAAGGGTATTAAAAGCTATTACAACCGTAGGTTGTCAGCTACACTGGAATCGAAATAATGACGTAATTTGTGAAATTAAAACGGAACGAGATTTACGTCATCGAAAAGAATGTGCAACAAAGAAACTCATCGACGCTCTTAGGAATTGTAATTCAATCAAAGCGTGTACTTCAAATCAGTCGAGCACAGAGCAGAGCTCAAAATGTAAAAAACTAAATCGAATGCCGATAAGTAACATGAATACGGATTTAAAAAACAGAAACACTGATCGGCAGGAGAACCAAAATTCCAAAATGTTACCGATCAATCTTCACTGTACAACGTCAGATTGACAGTCAAGGGCTGATTCTAATGTTATCCCACCGACTATGTTTTCTTTTCATAGTCGGTGGGATCAAAATTATGATCAAAAATTATGATCAAAATCGAAATTTGGGTCACTATTTTAATCTTTATCTCGGAAATTTCTATGCATCACATGGCATTCTCTTCCTCGAGGACAGAATAGTTTTGCCACCACAGCTTAGAGCACCAGTTAGGAGACGGTTGCACCAGGGACAAACGGGCATGTTCAAGATGAAGCAAACAAGCGTTTCTAGTGGCCACAAATAAATTGGCAGATTCAACTCACCGCGGCCAATTGTAAAGAGTGTGCAAAGTCCGAAAAACTTTTGAGGTCAAACATTCCGGAGGGTGACCTTACTAAGTTGAATTTCTGAGAAAAAACCAATCAAGAACTGCAATTGGATTTTTTGCACCCGCTACCGCCGGTATGGGGTGCTAAAATTAATCGCTCGTTTGCATCGATATATGTTCAAATTTTCCTTCGGTAAAGTTCACCACGAGAACAACTGCTACTGTGAAATAAAAAATTTTTTAAAGCTATATTTTACAGCACGCCATTCCAAAAAACATTGGTACCGACCAGGGGTCGAGTTTCATTGCAAAATCAATACGGGAATAATCTGCCACTGATAACATTCGGTTAAATTTCGCCCCGTTAGTGCAGCATCGCGCCTTAAATACTAACACTACGAGAACGTCTCATGGAATACGCGGGTCGAAAACCACAGTCGGCGCTTAAACCATCACTAAATGAGATTGTGTTTACAAATGGAACAGGAGTTCGTCAATCAGTGGGATGTTCGCCATTTGAGGTGAATTCTGGTTGTACACCAAATAGCGTCTGGCATACGATCGCAAAGTGTGCTTTATCGAGTAAGTTATCTTGGAGAAATGTTTTGTATTCTCTAGATCGCAATAAGCACATGTTTCCGCACGAGTTATACAGGAAAACACAAGCCCCAGATGACGACACTACCTTGGGCATGTACAATCGGGTAGTGCATACGCTGGCGGAATCAACACCATTTTCGTGTGGAGAACTTAGTATAACAGATCAACAGAAAGGTTGTCATATGTTTCGAAAAAATCAGGAAAGGTTAAAATTGCAGCCAAATTTGAATATTTAAACGAGAGAACAAGACGGGAATCAGACCATTTCGTTGCGTTGGATTCGGGAAAGGTGGTACATAAATCTGGTATTCTGATCAGTTTAGGTGGTTTCGACTCAGAGCCAACAGATCCCCGCAAGAAAGCGGCGTTACATGCTGCAGCCTAATTGCCGTTGGGTGAGATTACGGGCACGGCGAACAACCCCATCTGGGATGATATTTCATACGAGAGTTTCATGTCTACGGATAAACCGACGGCTAACCACGATGCCATCAGGGTGTTGCCTAAGTCTGGTGACAACAAGACATCGAAGGACAAGACAATGACAGAAAACAAGGGTAACTGCTGGTAACAGAAAACAAGATAGTTAAAATCTCGATCACTTAATTCATCGTGACGTATTCAAGCTCAGAAGAGAACAGTGTTGTACGAATGGAGACAGAGACTACAGGGAAACAGTCAACACCGGTCGCGTTATCATCCACGGAAGAGGAAGAAGATGCACCAGATAAGAACGTACCGATCAGCCCAAAAAGATCCCGAAGCCAAAAAAAAATTAATGCCGAGGATACTTATTTCGATAGAGAAATGTGTCGTTTCTTTTGGGGCGACAATTACGTCCAAGACGATATCACTGGACTGGGCGAGAATGGGTCGGGGCGCTTCGTAGATGTGCTCGACAAATAAAGTCGAATTGTCAAACATACCAACATTTTATCGTCGGTGGTCGATGCCTATGGTAA